TACTATTAAACTAATGTGTATTTTTTAATGATTATTTTGTAGATATATTTAAAACGTTATTAAAAGTTCCTTAAAAAATAAAACTCAAAATTTAAGTTATAAGTTGAGATTTTTTATACTTTTATAATTATTTTTTAAAATTTAAAAAATTTATATTTAATTCTTCTCATTTTAAAAATATATATAACTTGGTAAAAAAAACATTTTATAATAACCTGAAAACATGAAAAAATTTATTCAAAAATTTAAAAGTTTAAGGATAATTAAATAATTTTTAAAATTTTAAAAAATAACAACGACTAAAATTATATGCATAAAATTATTTTAGAAAACAAAATATATATTTTTTTATAAAGACTAAAATTATATCCATAAACTTTTTGTAGAGAACAAAATATATTTTTTTTATAGAGACTAAAAAAAATGAGATATTTATAGAGACCCAAACTATATTTAATTGTTAAATTTTCATTTGAATAAAATCTCAAATAAGAGCCATTAAAGTAGAAAAAGTTAACCTAATGTTTAAATGAAAGCGAAAATCAACCAAGTCCCCAACCTTGAGAGACAACAACATAGGTGACTTTGTTCCCTCTTCCTCTCTTCTTCTTCTTCCAACGATTTCCCAATCAAATCAAAATCAACTCTTTTTCTTCATCTTCTCTCTCTAATGGTTCTTCTTGAAGCTTCCAAGTTAACCCTTCCAACCCCATCTTCTCTCTCTTCCCCACACACAGCAACAACAACTTCCATTCTCTTTGAACCCACTACTCTTTCCCTTGCAATCACTCACTCCAACTCATCAATTTCTCTCTTCCCTTCTTTTTCACCTCTCTCCCTTTCTTCTTCTCTTCAATTTCCTCAAACCCTAATTCCTAAACCTAGTTCTTCCTCCACTTTTCTAATTCTTCAACAATCCCCAATTTCGACTAACCCTAATTCTGTCATCTTTCTCGTTTGTGGACCCCACCGAGCTGGTTCTCAAATTCTCCTCCGGTTTTACATTCTTAATAGGATCACCAACTGTTTTTCTAGGGTTAATCGTATTTCATGCGGCTCGCAATCAGAAAGTGGGTTTCTTAGGTTTGAACCTGAATTAGGGGTTTTGATGGATGCGAAACACGGGGTTTCTGTTAAGGTGGTTGGTTCTGTTAACTATTTCGCGGTTTATTCGGTTTCTAGTTATAAAGTTTGGGTTTTTTCTGTTAAGATGGTGGAGGATGAAGAGGGTGGTGGTTTGAGATTGATCAAGTGTGCGGTGATTCGATGTTCAAGACCTGTTTGGTCTTTGAGTATTTCCTTTGGGTTTTTGGTTCTTGGAGAAGAGAATGGGGTTAGGGTTTTTGGGCTGAGGAGGTTAGTGAAAGGAAAAATGGTTGGTAGGAGAGTTGGGATTTTGAATTCAAATTCAAATTCAAAATTGGGTTTGAAGCAATTGCAAAATGGTGATCATCATGGGAAGTATAAAGGCGGGGGAGATGGAGGAGGGAAAACCCGCAGTGGGGATGAGGCAACCTGCAATGGTGGATTGGAGGGGAAGAATGAAAAGCATGGAGTTGCTGGTAGGTACTTATTTAACTATTTGGTACATTCTTTTGTTGTAAGCTATGAAGCATGGATACCGGAAACACGAAACTGCCATGTCGACATCGATAATAATTTGAAAAACAAGTACCATTCTTTTGTTGTAAGCTATGAAGCATGGTACTTATTTAACTATTTGGTACATTCTTTTGTTGGTACATTCTTTTTGATATAATGGTATTTGTATTGATGACATAGCCGGCCCAATGCATTGTACTGAATTTCTAATTTATTATGTGCTGCTCTTAGTGTCTATTGTAATTATATTTCATTGTGTGTCATTGGATTGAGGGGACTGAAGAATACACAAACTTTTCAATTTATTGAAAACAAGTACAACTTGTGGAGTTACATCCTTGTGTTAGGAATGTGTTTATTCAAATCTTCATGGATAGGAAACAATCATGATTGCTTGCTAAAGACTCAAGATGACATCCTAGTTTAACTATTTTGGATTTTACCCTATTTATTAGTGGTTGGTAACAGGCATATTATATATGTATCATGGTACTTTATTTGATTGAAGTATGGATATTGAACATCTGGAGATAAATGGTGGGTGGCCCGATCGCGGAAACCTGATAGCAGGTGGTCCAACAGATCTTAAATTAGACTCTGAAACCATCTTAAGAATGTGTGGTTGAGTCTAACTCATCCCTACAAAACTGGCTTGAAGAGTGAGGATAGTTAGCTGATTGGATAGTTAGATGAAATAAGGGATATTACCTATAAATAAGAGGGGCTATGAGGGAGAGTATATTGTCATTGAAGAGAAAATTAGGGCGTCTGGGATAGGGATTTGGTGCTGATCTTCGTAATTTTTCAACTTTGTAGCTGTATGTGGGGAAGATTTTCCCTTTATTTTTTAATAGAGTACCAGGTTCCTAACATTGTCATTGTCTAATAACAATTAATGCAATACACTGGTGATACTGCCAACCTTAATGTATTAAAGCATGTTTCGTATCAGCCTAAGTTTCATTGACTGTAGAGTAGGCCGGAACTCTTATACTGGACAAAAATGATCAGTTACAATAAATGTGCTTTCTGCTGACTTTTGTTTTGAGTATTTATCGTCGACTGGGATATGAATTCAAATAAAAGAGTGTCCTTTGTTTGAATTTCTTATCTGACAATTGGAATCTTTGCTAGCTAACTGGACATATACTTTTATTTTATCAACCTAAATTTTCGTTCATGTTAGATTTGTAGGAATCCCATGATCTTGATGCTTGGTTCTATGCATAATTGTTGTCTGTTTCGTATATTCCTCAGTATATTATTTAATCTAATTTATGTATTTTTACTTTCAGTAAAGCAAACAATTGTTAAATACAAACATGACAACAAAGATGGAGGTGCATGCTTTTTGGCATTGAAGGGAAATGAGGTTGAAACAAAATCCATGCCAAAGGTATCCAAATCTGTAAAGGCCATTTCCATTAAGGCTCTGTCCCAGAGGATGTTTCTGATCTTGGACTCCCATGGGGATTTACATTTGCTATGCCTGTACAATTCTGGCCTTGGAGTAGATATCGCCGGTCATGTGAAGCAACTACCTCGTGTTATGAAAGTGCAAAGTCTGGCAGTACATCTTGATGAATCTACAAGTTTGTCTCACTTTCTTTGTCCTATTTAATATTATTCATAATTTAGTTTGTGTGTTTTTTCTCAGTGAAAGGTTTGATTTTAAGAAGAGCAAAACTTGCAAAACACTTAACAATTTTTGTTGGGGTTGAAACATTCGGCTAAAATTTGTTTATTCAGTTTCTCTCTCCAACTAAAGTTTCCTTATCATCCTGCAGCATCACAGACTATCTGGATATCAGATGGATGCCATTCTGTGCACATGTTCACGATGGACACGGAGAAGGCTTTAAATGAAGCAGATGGAAATGATGGTGATGAAAAAAAGCCTATGCATTTCCCAGGTTTTCAAACTTCTGTTTACTTAATTGGTTAAATTAAATTATTTATTAAACCCTAATTCTCAAAGTTGCTTTACACATCTCTAATCTATACAGCAGAGTGTGTAATAGACAGTTTCCGCTAAGTGAGATTGCAGCTCAATTTTTTAATTAACAAAAATAAATAAATTTTGGCTTGAATATCTCTTTGTCCTTGCCAATATCTTACTGTTTTCTTTTGGGTCCTGCAATTTTATTTTTATTTTTTCAACTTTGTTATGTTCAACTTCAGTCTGTCCATTTTTGGTCCATGCCATCGGCCCGTTACCATAATGAAATGTTGACACCATAATGAAATGTTGACATGAGTGTTAGAACTCAATATGACGCCGCCTGATGAGATTATTGACCACATGTGCCAGAAAGAGTTCCATTAGCCATGTTAGTGTTTTGTAAAAGCCGCCAATTGCTGAGACAAAAAATGGATAGTTTGAACATTACACAGATGAAAGCTAAAAAAACAAATTTACAGGAAACAAAATCCGAATGGAGATGTTTGAAGGGACAAAAAGAGAATATTGAAACCCTTACGTTTTAAAGCAATTATGTTTCAAACATATTCATGACTTATAATTGTAAGTACACTTAGAAATCAAAGCAAAGATTGGAATTGATGATTCAATTGCTTCAACTCTGTACTATTAGTCAAAAAAAAAAAGAAAGACAAACTCAGTACTAGCTATTCATATTTTGCGAATTGTAACTGCTTATCTTTTGGTAAGTTAAAATTGAATGGGGTTTCTCTGAAATAAGATAGGCGTAACATTCTTTCTCTCGTCTAAGCATTGGATGGAGTTCTATTATTTTATTTCATTCCTTTTTAATTCGGCATACCAATACTTAGTTACCTTGCAAAGTGTTGATTGCATTTTTATCTAACTTTCCTCTATTGTTTGTTAAATTGTCGCCAAAGAGCCTTTTGAGAGGTTCTGTCTCCATTCTCATTTGTCTTTATTATCTAAGTAACTTTTCTCTGTTTCAGTTACTCAAGTTCTTTTCTCCAGTGAGAAGATCCAAGATATCATCTCTATATCTGCAAACTCCATTCTGATTCTTGGACAAGGTAATATTCATTTTTCTTTCCGTGCGTGACTTGATATTCAATTCTATATACACGGACATTCTTCCATATTTTCTTTCCTCTGAAAAACCATAACAAAGTAGAACTAAAAGGACAAAACAAAATAAGTGGCAAGTCAGAGTGAAGTCTTTGGAGAATTTTTATCATGCATCTGATGCTACATTAATAGTTTAAAATATTTTATCTTTTGCTTACTCACCGGTCAAAATATATTCTGTTAAACAGGAAGCTTATATGCACACGCAATTTCCTGAAGTTGTTTCTGTTTTTTATCTCTTTCATCTGGTAAGCATTTTTCTCATTGCATGTTCTCACTGATCTGTATCTTATACTCTGCTACACAGTTTTGATATAAGCTCTGTTTATAGGAAATCAATCATCTTGGCTACCTTGACATTCTAAAGCAAATTTGTGTGGTTACAGGATACATTCTATCTTTCATAGTAAGTATTTTATTAAATATAATGAAATACATTCATTTTTTTTGGAGCAGTGAAATGTTGCTTTAGAAGATGATCTAATATTACTTTTCTCTAATTTTATTCACCATCATAAATTATGCGAATAACAATGGCTGTTTTTTCCCTAAATTCTCGAGTAGGTGATCTGGTTGCCTCACCATGTGTAGTGCATCCTTAAGATACTGGAGATCCTGAAAGGTATGCAACTTTTTCTCATTGCTTGGGTTCTCACCTGTTTCAAAACTATTTTTGGCCTTTATTTGCCTGCTAGGCTAAGAAGCTCGGATCCAATCTGTTACAGATATAGGGATGCACGGAATTAATGTTTTAGTTTCTCTCATATGTATCAAATCAATCTAATACTTTCTTTATTGTTATAGATTATTACCAGGCTCATGAGATTGGTTAAATATCCTGGCGGTCGACAATTCTGGTTCTGCGTTATTCAACAGCTTAATGTCATCTGTCCTGCAAAACCTGTCACAGCAAACAGCAGGACTGCATGATTCAAACAAATATGGTATCTGTTCATCCTACTTGTTTAATGCCAATTGTTGCACCCTAAAATTTGACCAACCGGTTCTCCCATTTGACTCATGGTTTGATTTCATATTCGCAGCTCAGACAGATGATTTTTGTGCAAGCAGGGGATATCAGAGTTTACAGCTTGATTTTCGTCTATCAGATATGGCAGACCCAGTCCAGATCACCAGGGTTTTATTTTCAGGAAATTGTGCGCTCCTCGGTGATTTTTCAGTGATTTTGAGGATATTCTGATGCCCGGGGATCTCCGTTCGATTCGATCTGGTCTCGTGCGCTCTTTTATGGCAGTCATTTGTATTCATCTGCATTTTTAGGGTTTTAATAGACTTTTGTGAATTTTTAACAGGCTTTATAGATTTTTCTGGAAGTTAAATAGGGTTTTTTGAATATTTTAACAATTTAATTCTCTTTATAGGATTTTATAGAATTCTTAAATAGGTTTATAGAATATTTTTAATAGATTTTAATCATTTGTAGATTTTTTTATCATTTTTAGAATATTAGTGAATTTTTCTTAGCATATTAAATAGAATGATAAAATTAGGATAAATAGGTTTAATTGTTTTTTTTTTTAAATCATTTTTAGGAATTTTGTATAGATTTTTAAATGGGTTTAATTGTTTTTAGGTAATATAGAAAATGATATAGTTTTTCTTTTATTAATAGATATTAAATGATATTAGGATTTTAATAGAGTAATTAGGTTAATTGATTTTTTAGAGTTTAATTAGGATTAATTGAATTGTTAGAGTTAATTAGAGGTTAATTGATTTTTTAGGTTTAATTAGGATAATATAGAATTAATTAGGTTCTTAATCATTTTTTAGAGCTTAATTAGGTTAATCATGTTTTAGATTTAATTAGGTTGATTTAGTCAGTTAATTAGGCTTTAATGATTCATTTAGTTGTAAATAAGTTTTAATTCAGTTTACAATTTGTTTGGTTATTTTTTCGTTTGGGCCTTGGTGCCAGTAATCCAGCCCAGCACAGGTTTTTGTTTGCTCAGCATGTCCAAAAAAAGAGTCCAGTAAAGGTCCAGAGAAAAAGTCCAGCGCAGCCTGGAATATTTTAGAAGCTTCCAGCGTCTGCAAAGGTATAAAAGCTGACACGTGTTGGCCATGCAGGGCCCCACGCGTTTCGCCTCGAGAGCGCCACCACACTCAGAACCCACTCTCCCTCCTGCCACGTAACTCCCACACGCGTCTCTCACTGACTCTCCCTCCTTCCACGCGTCCAGTCCTCAGCTGCCACCTACCTCCACCGGTCAACCCTACCGGAGACTAGTCGTCGGCCATGCAAACCTCTCTGACCGCCGTCTAACCGTCTCCGGCCGCCGCAACAACTCGCCGGAAACGGATTTTTGCCCAGAATTCCCTAATTTTCCCCTTTCTTCTCTGATCGCCACCAAGAACCACCACTAGCTTCATCAGAACGTCCAAGATTTCCTCACGAAAATCATCATCGTCAACGTAACGCCCAGATCTTCGCCCATTTTCTCAGAGAACTTGCAAGAATCTTCATCGTTTTGCTTCTCTATCTAAGAACAACCAAGTTTTACGCCCAGATCTTCATCAATATTACAACCTTCACATTTTCGGTTCCAGATTCACAACTCCTTCAAGCAAGATCTCCAGAAATCTACTTGAATCTTCATCCTCAGTCGAAGCAAATCCTCAGAAACTCATCGTTCTCCATCAATTTTTTTCCAGAACTCTTCGTCTTCAACAAGGAACTCATCAGAACCTTCATCGATCTCCAGATTTTTGTTTCTTCGCCAACATTCATACGCTCTTCGTCAACCACCGCCCACATTCCTCCAGGTTCTCTCCTTATTCCTTCTCTGTATCGTTTTAGCTTGATTGTTAGGCTGATTAATTTAGAGTAGATCCTCTGTTTAGTGGAACGGTAGGTTCTGTGGGGTAGATAAGATGCGATTTGGGCTTCTAAGCGTAGTTCATGAGAGCGGCAGATGTTGTGAGGGTTGGATTGAAGGTGGCATCGGAGCAGTTTCAGAAAAGGGTTGAGAGAGTGTTTGAGAAGCGGCTAGGGTTTGGGGGATTAGGATGATGAACAGTGCCTGAGGGGAATTAGGAGTAGCTTTGTTTGTTAGGGTTCGGATTGGATTAGGGTTTAGGATGCTGGGCTTAGGCCCAAGCGTACTTCTAACGCACCCCTCAATTGCTTCCCCACCTCCCTTCTGCGTGAGAGACAGAGTAACTGGAGTTGGGCCTTAGGCCCCAAATTGCTGTTAACACCCCCTGGGCGTAGCCCATTATGGATATCAACTGAGGAATTGCTAATGTGACACCCCCCCTCTGGTTTCAATTCAATTCTTTTTGTTTTTTGGATATTAAGTCATGGGCCTGCGTCCAATTGCTATTGGCACCCCAATCAGGGCCCAATGTAGAATCCCTTATAGATCTCTTGCTGTTTAAACCTCCCATGTTATTTCTTTTATTTTTCCTTTTGTATTTTCATGTTAAATAATTCATAAAAAATGTAAATAATTGTTTGTTTCAATAATTCTTTTTTCCACCATTTCATGAAAAATGTTTAGAAAATTAAATAAAAATAAAAGTGACATTTTATTTTTTGTTTGTTATATTTTGCATATTTTTCAATTAATTGATTTGTTTTTTTAATATTTTCAATGCATGCATATCATTAAAAAAATTCATAAAAAATGGTAGAATTAGTCAAATAATTCCGTTCTTTTTTCTGTAGACTCGTGATTCAGTGTAGAATTTTACAGTATAAAAACATTAGCTTAATCATGCATTTTCATTTTAATTGCATTTTTTTCACTGTTATTAATGTTGAATAATTGGTCTGTGGATATGTCTGTGTTGCTGATTTTATTTCTTTCATCTGGTGTTGAATCTTGTTCTGATTTTTCAGTATGTTACCCTAGAGCCATGTAGGTTTCCCCGTAGATTTTTGATAGATTTTTGTAGGGTGTTCTGCTGTGATTTGTCTGAGCCTGAATATAGGAGAGGTCTTGATGACTTCTGACTTCGAAGTTCAACTGTGGTTGAACTTCAGAGATAGTCTCCTGTGGTTTGTTGGCCTGTGGGTTCTTCTCAAGGTGGGAGCTGATTGAAGTCCTGTTGGAGCTTGCAAGGTTGCATTGGATTGAGGCTTAGTCTAGGAGCTTGTTGTCTGTTTGTGAGGTTCGAGATCCTGAAGTTTGAAGGGAGTTTATGGTACTTTCCTGAGGAAGGCACTATGAATGACTTTCATCCTTCCTTCTCACCTCTTTCTTAAGTATCCAATGATGTCGGAGCCGACTTGTGAGTTTAATTTCTCCTGAGGAGGAATGTAAACTGATCACAGTTGTTGAGCCACGTAGGATACGATTCCTAAGTGTTAGCCTCCTAGTACTTTCCTGAGGAAGGTCCTATGGGTCTATTCACTTAGTTCCATTAGTTTATCTAGGATTTCCAAGTATCCAGTGATGTTGGAGCCAACTTGTGAGTTCAATTTCTCCTGAGGAGGAATGTAAACTGATCACAGTTGTTGAGCCACGTAGGATACGATTCCTAAGTGTCAGCCTCCTAGTACTTTCCTGAGGAAGGTCCTATGAGTCTGTTCACTTAGTTCCCTTAGTGCATATAGGTTCTTTCCCAAATATCCAGTGACGCCGGAGCCTTCATGTGAGTTTAATCTCTCCTGAGGAGGGATGTAAACTGATCACAGTTGTCGAGCCGCATAGGATATGATTCCTGAGTAGTAACCTCCTGGTACTTTCCTGAGGAAGGTACCATGAGCTTGTCTGCTTAGCTTCCTTTCTCTGGTAAGCTTGTTCTGAAGCTTAGAGACTGGGATTGATTCCTCTTGCCTAGGAGTTTGTTTAGATCCTGCTTAGGTTTTTTTTGATTAGATTTGTTGCTTAGATCTTTGCTTAAGGTGCTGTGTAGGGTTTTGTTTAGAGAGTTATTAGGAGTTTGTTTCAGGTTTGTTAAAGGCCCTGCTCAGGGTTAGTCTCTTTGTGTTGTTTGACTTGTGTGATGTCATGTTGCATTAGACTTAGGTTCATCTAGATAGTTTCTGAGTAGGTGCATCTTAGAAGTAGACTTTGTGTGCATGAGAAGTTGAGGTGGTCCTCCTTCTGCTTGTTTGTTATTGCGTGGCTTTGCTTGTTGGTATTCGGTAGAGCTGAGCTCCCTTGCCTTTGTGGTTTGCGGCCTCTGTGCCTTGTTTGTCTAGTTGTTGCATTCATGCATATTTTCAGTATTCATTTACGTTGCAGTTTCTTGTTTGTAGTTTAATCCTGTTGCCATGATCCCTTAGGAGCTCTGACTTCTCCGCTGCGGAGTTGTTATGATAGACATTAGGATGGTTAACCAGGTGTGATAGCAGTAGGTAGATTCCCCTGTTTCTCAGGTATAGTTCTAGGGTTTCCCTTTCCTTTCTGTAGGAGCTTTTGAGTAGCTCGACCCGTAGTTAGCTGAACTACAGCTGCTCTGATTCTTCGTTCCAGACGAAGATATGTAGGCATAGGATGCGATGTCCTAGCGAGCACACTAATGACTAACCTTTGTTCTCTCGCGGCTGTGCGATCGAGACTTTCCCGCTAACGACTAATTGTTATCCCTTTTTCTCTTGCCCGAGCGCATTTGAGACC